TGGAATAGAATGGGATTGGATGGGATAGGATGTCTTGGATTAGGAGATAGCAAGACCTGCCCACTTTACATTATATATTAACATCTTAACGGCAAGCTGGGATGTCAGCATGCATACAAGGGCGTGACGGTAGCCACTATCAGTCCATGTGTGAGCTCACTGTAACCCAACCATATGAATGATGTGTGCAAGGCAGACCACACCACTGGGAAAATTTCCCCTACTCTTTTCGACCAGTACTGTGGGTTATTTTACATCCCCTCTGATTTGACTCATGAAAGGATGAAGGTGACAAGGCCAATGGCTTAACGTCATTGCCCAATGATTCAATCATCTCAATTGAGAAGTCTCAAATCAAAGCCAGCATGATCTGACCAGTCTTTTAAATACCCTGGTTATTGGTCTGGCTGGAGTTTGAACCCATGACCTTCCGCTTGGCAGACTGGTGCTCTCCCAAATGAGCTAACCAGGTGGCAGAACATGAATAATATTTATAATTGTATATTAAAGACGATGGATTCCGGTATATGAAAGTCTACCCTGAAAATGACACATCCCCTACCAACTACTTTATGCTAGGATCAAGATTTCTCAATATAATAAAATTAGTCGTCACATTTCCTTGTTTTTAATGCTCCCTGGTACAAAAAATTTCTGCCCAGCCCAGTACATTTAACAAGCATGCAGTGATCTCATATTGTGTTGACGTAACGAAAAATTGATGCTGGTACTTGCATTTGAAGGGAAAATTAAATTGGAAGATTCACAGGCTGTGAGAAAATATTATAGTTAGTAGAACTTTGTGTTTTTTTTTCTGCTTAGGTCATACAAGGTCGTTAAACACTTTGCCAGGAGACCCCTAGGAAGTGAGATAAATTCTTATTATCCCCCACTTAAGAAGTTCCAGACCCTTCTCTTTAGGTTGAGGCATTTTGGATTCTACTATGATGAGCATTTGGTAAGTGACAACGGTTGACTCGTGAAAACTAGAGGTTTAAGTCATCAGGGTCTTAATTATCAGGGGATAGAAATGATCAATTAAGAAATAAGACAGTCTTATTAAATTTAAAGTTCCTTGAACAATTAAAACTCAGTTTTGCTGGTCAACAGGAAAAATTCCCTTGGAGCGGGTTACAAGTAACCAAGGGTCACAACAGTCTAACCATCTCTCTCTTATTATTATTATTATTATTATTATTATTATTATTATTAATATCATTATTATTATTATTACCAAAAAAGTGCAAAGAAAACAATACTTTGTAAATCTGAACAGAAGGGAAAATTTTTGGTTTCTCTCATAACATTCATTGCACTTTCTCAAATAAGAGTTATTGATCATGAAGAAAATCACCTCTCCCGAAATAAAATTGCTTTCAGTAAGAGGGAGGTTCAAGTTAGTGAGGGTCCTATTTATTGACAGTGAAAGCACAGAGCAAATCTTCATTGTGGGGGAGGTCAATTTTGGTTCACTTTAGCACAAGATTGGAGTGGTAGTTAACATTACTGTAGTGTACTTAAAGAGGCTGAACCATAAAAGTAATGTATGACATTAAGATTTTTTCAGTTTGCATGCATGTAAATATATTAAAATGGACATACATGTATCCAGCTATGGCCTAAAATAGCATGTACTAGCCCTATTTAATAGATATTTTTAATGCACACATATTTTTAAATGGGTTACAATATAGACTTGACTTTTCCCCAATAAAACCAAAATCTACACTTTCTAGAATTTCCGAGAAGAGATGGCAGCAAAACGAAAAGAGAGAGGCAAAGGTCCACCAAAGAAAGGTGAAAAGCTGCATTAAACCTTTAAACCTCAATATCAAAATATATTTTCTCCTTCCTATTCTCCATATGTTTCTTATTGTGCTGCTTGAGAGAATTTGTTCAAACATCAAGACATTACCGTAGAACCTCGATAACACAAACAAAATTTGCTTTCCTTTCATCAAAATTTCATTGAAATTTACCCCAATGACTCAAATTGCCCACTAACTCGAACTGTTTTTTGTTTCCCTTCAGAGTTCAAGTTACCGGGGTTCTACTGTATTTTGTCATGATTGGCGATCGTTTTATTCGTTCTCTTGAACTGTTCCTTTGATTTCAGTCTGCTAAGTCCTTTTCTGCTCAGTCAGTCACCAAGACTACAGTAGTGCATGAAAGCTTTGCTAGTTGCTTAATTATAGAACACAATTATTCATGTGGAAATTTTTCTTTAATCATCCAACATGACAATGTAATTTTGAATCAATGGAGTGCATAACCCAATCTTTATATATTTTTTTATTATAAAACAGGTGAAGGCAAGAGGGCCAAGAAGAAGAAATAAAAAGCCAATAATAATTCTTTACAAAATCGTTGAGTACAGTTTAAGAAACCTGTAAAACAGGTCACGTTTGGTCAACAGTCATTTCATGAAATGTTGGTAGGGCTAACCTGGCTAGTAATTCCCTCAAAACTACAAACCAGCAGTGAGTCAAAATACAGCTGGATAAGCTATCTGAAACCTGCTAGTCCTACTGAATCTCTTACGAATGCCCAAATCCGTTCGTCAAGTATTCAAAAAATGTACCATAAAATAAAGTCAAATGTCTGCTATACTTCTACCATTATTTTCGTATTTACATACATATAACAGTTGGCAAGCTTTTATACACTGTGTGTCAGTGAAATGAAGCGTGTGTTCTGACAGTAGGAGTTGATGAAAGTGGGTTTTTACGTTTCTTTCTTTGCAATCAAAGTGCTCTCTTTTGCAGTAGAGCTTACCTTCTCGACTAGAGTCTATCTGTGTATGTAGACATAGAGGACATTTGTTGCAGTTTGTTAGAATGAAAGCTTCTACAGTATGGTTTCTTTTGTCAATGCTTTCTTACTTCTATGTGAGAAATACAGACTTGAGTTTTAATATAAAATTATTTTAGCCTGCGAATACAGCTGTCCTCTCCTCACTTCACAACACTAGGTGAACTAGGGATGTTGAAGAGCGAGGAGAAAGGGCTGAATTCTCAGGCTAATACAAATTAGTAGACTCTTTCTTTTTATTCACTGTGGTTTACACTCTAGCTTAGAACGCATGTGTTGCACATGAAATACGTTTGTGAACGGTTGGCGTACAAATGGCAGAACATTGCAGAGAGACTATTAATTTTTCTGTCTTATTTCCTATATTACGTTTTAGATTGTGCCGAGAACTCGATGCACGGAAAAGCTAGTTTAGAAAAGAAATTTTGGAATTAGCTCCCGTATTTTTTTTTTTCATTTTTTGACAAAATACCTATAAGAATCCTTCTTGCGGTTTGTCTCTTAATGGCTGTGATAGGTAATAGGTCGTTTCGCCTCCGGATGTAAGTCGATTCGCCCGATGTTAAGGTTTTAGTTGTCATTCTTTCAGCCTTAGAAACGAAATAAGCGTGAAAAGACAGTGACTGCACATGTGGATCAACAACTTTTTAGAGTGAAAACTTCACACGTAATTATATATCAAAAATTACGTAGTAATCGTTGCGATCGCTGAGGTACATGTACATGTAGACCCGATGTAGACTTCAGTTTTTTTATGATGTACAGTCTTTCAGTATCTCTTATGTACAATGTGATAATCGAAATAGCTAAGATGGCTCGGATCACTGGACCCTTTTTAGCAATCGCAGCAATAGAATCCAGCTTAATTAAAAAACATCTCTGATAAGCCGTGCTGTATAGTTTTGTTTGTCATCGGGCGAATCGACTTACGTCCGGGCGAAACGACCACAATTCCTCTGATAGACCTCTGGGGAACTCTTAAGCGCCCGCCCCAGGGAGCTTGCTTGCAAGCTTTTGGCCTAGGTTTCTTTAGCCAAGTGCGTTCCTTGCAACACCCGTAAGTGTACCCATAACGGATTCGTAAGTGACCTACTTAAGTGGGCACTTAAGTTCAGGTATGCAACTGGGCCCAGGGGCAGGATTTTTTCAGGGGCACGCACAATTCTCCAAATGCCCCTTCCGAGGTAACTGTGAAATGACGTAAATAAGAATCAATTCTGAAAAATTCTTTATCGTCTTTTTGGCCTAAATCGAAAGTCAATACTTTGTATCTAATTACTTTTAAATCAGCAATGTTTTGTAGAATAAACAATTCTTCAAATGAATATAATCATGATACTTTCCCTCCTTCGATCATGAGAGTTTCCGGTAAAATCAAAGTGTCATGTTCATGAATATACGGGTGCTTTAAAAATAACTACCGGTACCGAATTCGCGTTTTTTTCAAACTTTTCCGCGTTTATTCCAACTTGGAAAATGTAGGTGCATTTCACTAGAGTTGAATCCTTAAGAACCTCACCCAAGCTTGAACCGAGAAAGAAAAATTTATCATCGTGTGTTCAGACTTTCACCTCCTCCAGACAACGTCGCATAAGAAAATTCCACATCGTGGTCGTGCGGGAACGGCCGACGGAAATTTACCAACAAGCGTGCTACTAACAGTATGCAAAGGTTGTTTATCTTTTTAAAACTTTCTGCTTTTTGACATATTCTCATTGCCATCGCTGTCGCTAAAGCCAGCCCGGACATTTATCGATTTGTGTAAATTTTTGGGAATCCGAATGCGTATTAGTAGAATGAAGGCTTGCGAAATGAACCGAATACCCTCAATGAGAGCGAAATCCTGAGTTCGAAACATTTATGAGTCCTTTACCGTAGTGCCTACGCCAACAATCTAGTGGTATCTCAGACTTTAGTTTCAAAATTGAGTGATTTTAAAATTCTTTTACCGCTATTTGCCACATTAGTTTTTACCGACGAAGCACCCTACGTTGATGTAACCGTGCCCTACTTCGTCTGGTGCGAAAACAGGCCGAAGTGAAAACAATGCGTTTACTCTTTATACCATCCAGCCTTGCTATTTGCGCCTCTCTAAATTGGCCTTTTCTCTAAATATATCACTGAAGATTCGGTCCACCAATGAATCAAGTCTCTTTTCGGGAAGCCGACATTCGGGTGTAAAACTAAAAATTACACAGTCCGTTCATAAATGAATAGAGACACTGTGAACGTAAAATAATTATATTTTACCCATCTTATCCTTTGCTTTTTTTTCATTATTCACTTTGGTAAGTTAGTTTATTATTTATTTTTTTGTTTTCACCCTAACTACCGCGCGTGTACACCAGTGGCTTAGCCCCGCGCAAATCGTCCCGTCCCCACCCGGGATGTTTCTCTTATTTTCTGCCGGTACGTACGTCATGTATGGGGACAAATATTCTCTTCGACCTCAGACGTTTCGGGCTATTCAGGTCTTCGATTCTTCTCTTCTTCAGGATTCTTCAGCTTCTTCAAAATATTCAGGGCCTTTTCATTGGAATTCAAGCCTTCTGCTATTCATTGCTTCCTCACAGAGTGGGAGATTTTTAATATTATGGCTGTATAAATTTTACGGTGGTTTAGCGAAGTGACAATTTGAAAAACCCGCCGGCATGCGTTTGTTCATTTCCCAGTAGTCTGATGGTCATTTGTTTACACTCACGATCAGAAGTGACTAAGATTGTTTATTCACCCATCGCGGGCTTGCGTTGGTTCAAGTTTGATCAATTTGCAGAAGAGAAATATTTATCTTGCGTTTGCCGTCTTCTTGTATGCAAATCTGTCATAACCGTCGATAAAGAACAAAATACCACCAGTTGAGTGTTGACAGCACCTTGGTAACCTTATGAGCGGGACAAATTTATAGCGTTTGTTGTTTCTGGGATTGTAAGTTTATTCCGCGATGGCGTCACCGACAAAGGCCTCTAGAAGTCGAAAGTTACCATCTCCAAGAAGCAACGACTTGCCAAACGGAACTTATCAAAAGTACACAAAAGATCCCCAGGATGGGAGTGCAGATAATGGGTCGTCACTTCAGGAGTTTGGCAAGTTATTGAGTTTACTTCTTTTGTTATTTCTTTAAGATAAACATTAGCAGTGCTAGTACCATGTATTGTCAGGGGTGTAGCTAGAAATTTTCCAGACTGAGGTACTCACAGTTTTGCAAGTTCACCATCTTTGGCTTCGCTCTACCAAGTCGATTCCATACAGATGACCTAATGCTTATAATTTTTGCATTTTACTCAGGTAATTGCACTATTTTCCAGCAATCCCTTATTTACCCTCTGTTCATTTGCTTTGTTTTTGCTTTTTACTCATCCTTGACATTACACAGGTACAGTAGCAATGTACAATGTATGCCACTTATTGTATATGTTACATGACTAGTCTTGTATATATCTGTCCGCAAATTACTGGTATTCTCACAGCCAATCAGATTGTGCATTTGTGATAGAATTCTATCACAAACGCACAATCTGACTGGCTATCCCACTTAGAGAGATGAGAAAGAAATAGTGGTGGAAGTTCATTTCAAACCAGGGTTTGGCTCAAGCAGTGTGCAGCATCCTAATGACTTGATTTTCCCTGTTAACAACAGGAAAATATCAGTTTTTGGACTTGTATGCTGGGTAACCAGGATTTCATAGGTTAGAGATCAGGGTACTGAATGGCAGTGCAAGCATTAGTCTGTGCCAACGATGCTGTTATTCACTGATCGATTTGAAACTTCAGTATTCTCCCTGGGCACCCCTCTGAGCATATGAACATTTTAAAACAAGTCTATTCAAATTCTCTTTACATTAGCCCAATGAAGTGGTTAAATACCCCTCCAAAAGAAAAAAATTTTGCAGATTGTGAATTTGAAAAATAGACAAGTGAATTTTCTGGACTTTGCATGATGTTGATCAGCAATTGAACTTCAAAAACCCATATATGTAGCTTTTGATTAAGTCCTTGCCAAACAAGGCATTCATTTAAAAAGTTGTTTCTTTACCTTTAACTGACCTCCATCTCACTCTAAGAAAGGTCATATCAGTCTATCAAAATACGTTGTCAAACCTGGATCGTTCAAAGACGAAGTTTTGAGTTGGTTGTTGCTAAAGTTGTTTGTATTTGTAAATCTAACGGGTCAAATTTGATTTCAGGTTACAATAATATTTTTTAACCTAGGTTAATTCTCAATTTCCTTTGTCTTCTAGGGCAAGGAGACAAAGGATATATTGAGAATCAACCTAGGTTAGATCAAAATTAACCTGAAATCAAATTTCCTGTAATATAAACAGTGTACAATGAATACATACATCATTTGAAAGACTGGTAATAAGAGTTCAGTCTGTGGTACCCAAAGAGACACAGATGTAATAACAGCTTGATGTCAAATAATGAGAATGATAAAGTACTTTTATAATGAAATATTGATGTGATTTTTTAGATTCAGATGAAGCACCGACTAAAGATACAACCAGTCCACGAAAATCTGGTGTTGCTTATTTAACTGAGA